AGGCAGGGGCGGCACTTCTACTTCAGGAGGGGCCAACTGCTGCACTTCGTCCGAAGAGACTGGATGCACCTCGGGAGGCTGCACTTTGGCCAGAGCTGCCTGATCTTCAACTCCAACGCCTTGCGCTTCTTCTTCTTCTTCTTCTTCCTCCACTGCCACCAGCTCAACATCAAAGGCTGGAGGAAAGATAGTGCATCCCTCTGCGTCATGCTCCCACCTCAACTTGATCAGAGGTTGGAAGTCAACAGAAAGACTCTCACCATCCTCCTCCACTCCTTCTTCTTGTTCCCCAAAGGTGACCGTTGTCACGTCCACCTCTAGGTACTGGGCCTTTACCTTCTTCCTGAAGTCGATGAAGGCCACAATTGTGGTTGGTAGCCGGTACAGTTTGACGATGTTCTTGAAGGTGCTGGAGTTGAGGAAGTTGCCAATGTGCTCTTCCATCCCGTTGTGAACCAACAGGTTCACGTTCTTCTTCAGCTCCGTCGCTTCTTTCCTCATATTGTCAATATATTTGTCTTGAGCTTCGAGCTTCTCCTCACATATCTTCCTCTTGCGTTCTTCAAGGACAAGTTTCGTGCTCAAGACATCATTGTCGTTCTCGAGCTCAGTCATCGAAGGAAGAACTTCATCCAGCCTCCTCTGCATCTCATTCTTCTCCTTCTCCCACTCTTCCTTCTCCTTCTACAGCTCTTCCCTCTCCCTTTGCAGCTGCTCGCACTGCCTCTGCAAGCTGGTACGATCTCTCATGCTCTCTGCGTACTCTTGCGCTAAAGCATTTGTCCAGCTTGCACTCTACAAGGCAAGCAGAAGTCAGACCTCAAACATAGAAGTAAGAAAGAAAAAGAAAAATAAAACAGGAATAAGCTACAGCTCCCTTACATACCTCTAGGGCATGCCTCACAACAGTAGCTCCTAGCTGGCTCACCGCCTCATCCCTCGCCCGCATTCTATCCACCTCAGGAAGAGTAGAGTTGAGAAAGCGCTTCGCCCCAGTCGTGTTTGTCGCCTCAAACAAACTCTTCTGGTACAAGTGAGGAGGGATGAGCTCCTTGCCCTTGCCAGGGCCTCGCACCTCGGCCTCCTCCCTCTCCCTGACCTCAGGATCGATTTCAGGAGCAGAAGGGCGAGGCACGAACTCAGTCACCTCATCCCCCCTCACCTCTGGTTTAGCCACCTTCCTCTTCTTTCTCTGGAGTGATGCCACCTCCTCACTCACCTCCTCACTATCTCCCCTTGCAGGCTTTGGCCTCTGCTGTATCTCAAGCACTCGAGCAGAAGTGCTGAGCAGGCGCTCTTTCTCTGCCACCCCTTTGTCCGCCGTAGTTGAAGCCTTTGACTTCTTCCTTGGCTTCTTTGGGATGCGCAACCCCCCAACAGCATTTATAAACTCGTTCATCTCAGCTGCAACACAAGCACAAATGTCAAAGCACACCAACTAAAATCTACCCAAAATGGCACAATATAAGCATACATAAACCTTCGCTCAATGAGCTTGGCCCATAGAGCTCAGCAGCCTCTATTGCCTTCGGACTGGTGAGGTACAGGATATCCATTACGTTCCCTTCCTCCCTCACCAGCTTTTCTACCTCCTCCACCTCATCCTCATTTAATTTATAGTTGTTCTGCTTGGTTTTCTTAGCTTTCCAAGCAGACAACTGTTCCACTTCGGCATCCCTCCTACTCCACTCGGTGTCATCCACAAAGAAGAATTTT